TACAGGAGATTTTAATGAACAGGGTGTTGCTTTTTTCCTCTCTTCCATCAATCTATCAAATTGCATTGTGATTGTTTTAAGGGGTTGTTCTTTAGACCTAAGGCTTGAAGTCTCCTCTGTTTTGTTCCAGTTTATTTGTGCTTTACCTCCCTAAAACTTGTTTGGTTTACTACCATACTAAATGTTGTATGTGTTGCTTTCAGACAGGCAAGTCTTATGTTTCAATTATGGAGGAGTTTATTCAGCACCTGTATTGCGTTGCGCTTCTTTTCAACTAAATTTCCATTTCCCAAAGGCTGTACACATGAATGTGTACACATCTTTTTTTCTGTATGCATACACACACAAATCTATACATTTCTGCGTATAAACATACACATCATCTTAACTGAATGATCATTTTCATTGCGCATTTGAATTTTTGATATATCCAAAACGTTCATAAACATCCTTAAACTTAACAAGGTTTTAATTTTTCTATCATCTATCTTTGTAATCAAATAGAATAGAATATAATGAATGGAAGTCTTGTTTTTCTACCCCAGAGGAATCTTAAATTTCAAAATTATTTATACTTTTAAGAAGGTAAAGCTGTAAAAGAACTAAACTCTTCTCTTCATACTGCATTTTTCTATCTGCATTGAATGCTTACAGAGTGAGGTTCAGGTCAGGCAGGAAAAACACCCCAACCACGGGACTGCAGCAGTGGATTTCAAGAAGGTTTTGGGGGGTTTGTGCTTTTCTCACCCCTAAATAAGGGTTGAAAGAGTGCTGTTGGTCTCAAGTCTGTGCAAGACTCCTGCTTTTCCAGTGCACACTATCTCCGCATTTTAAGTGCATTCACCCGCATGTGTTTCAGTAAATCTCAGTTAAGTGTGGAATGCTGATTTCTTCCGACTTCCTAAATAGAATATTATGGAGACCTGTGTATTTTAAATTAAAGCATTTCCCAGGCCTTGGGTACAAGCAAGCTTCAGTAGAAGAGACTGTTTAAACCTATGGGGACAGTCCTATATTTAGATAACATTAATTCATAAATATTATACTAAATACCACTTAAATTGGCCTTAAATGACTTCAAAGATAATGCATTATAATATGGCTGTCCTGAGAGCACTAACCTTTATATCTCCCAGTAACTCAGCCTTTAAGCATACTCCACAGCTAGATAAGATGTGGGGAAGTTATGAATGAATGTCTTGCTAAATTGTTAAAGTGTGATTAGTTAACTCAGTGCATGTGTGTGCGTGTATGTGTGAGAGCGTGGGTGGGTCAGCTCAGCCCCGGTAGATTTCTACCCGTAGATCTCAGCACACAGCCTCTTCCCAACCCTTCAGCAAAGTACCAGAGCAGCAGCCTGTTCCTGCCCCGTGTGGAGAGAAGCAAGGATGGGGGAAATATGCAGCAGCTACGCTCATGCCATGAAAGCTTATTTTCTCGGGGATCTGGCAAGCCTTTCCCGCCTTCCCCCACATGCTGCTTCCCCCATACCCCTTCTCTCTTTGTGTATTTGCAAGAGAATCATAATCCCCTGCCTCTTTCCTGGTGTCTGCACTGGTATCAGCCAGGGCTGCTGGTGAGAGAACCTGGGACTTCACTCTCCTTTTGTGATAGTTTTTCTTGGAGGAGGGCATAGTAATGTACTTTAGGTTCTTAATTTTCAATTTCCTCCTGCTATACAGGGGCACCGCAATAGGATATCTTCATAATATTTTCAAGAATACACATCCTTTGATCTTGTTTCAATGGATTTACACCTGAAATTACTCCGGTTGCTGTTTTTTTACTTTAAGCTAATTCCTCTCTCTTCCCTCCTCCCAGAACAGTCCCACCTTCTCCCCCTCTACACCCAAGGTATGCTCTCCGCACACTTAAATAAACTACAGCCTACTATTAACCCTTCAGGGTGTACCACTGCCACAGCCTAATCCCCTGAATTAGGAATGAAATCAACTGAGAGTGATGGATCAATTAATGTATAAGCATTATGCATCTCTTATGGAAAGCATCTTGGGGTTTTGTATTGCCAACCTACCCCTGTGAGCCAAGTTGGACTATCTTTATGCAATTCTTCACCTACGCCTGCAAAGCAAAGCCAAAATAAGGACATCTGAGTGAATACAATGCTTCACATGACTGCATTTAGAGAAGGGAAGAGAGAAAAAATAGATTAGAAATGAAATAAAATGAATAAAATAATAATAAAAAAAGCCAAACACAACCCTCATCCTTCAAAGCCCCATCACGCTTTTTGACTTAATAGTAATTAATCACTACTGGCAAGAAAGTAATTTTTTTCCAGGTAGCCAGAGGCACATTTTTATCAGGATTAGCTAATAAATCAGCGGCATCGCTAGAAAGGAGTTCAAACTCTTCTCGGATGTACTAAATAAAACCGATCTCTGAAATGCTGGCAACTCGGTGTCTATTGAAGCTTCACTCAAACCTTAGCCCGCAAAATAACAATCATCATCATAAATTTTCTTTCCAAAGTCCAAAACTTATAGCATGTTAAAAATGACTGTTTGTTTTGAGATGAACTCATGCAGTTTGGTTTGATGAGGTGACAAGATTCCCCACCTGGCTTTTTTCCTAGGTTGCAGCTTTAGAACAGAAATGAAATGAAGGGAAATGAAGTTAGTATCTTGCTTAATTCAGGGATATGTGTTAAACACATCCAAGCAAGATAAATGATCCCTCTCTCTCTCCTTTCTCTCTCTCTCTCTCTCTCCTTCTCTCTCTCTCTCTCTCTCTCTCTCTCTCTCTCTCCCCTTTCCTGAGTTTGTCTCTGTGAATACAGGCATACAGTAAAAGCAAAACTGAACTGAAAGAGAGAGAACTCAGATCTATGAAATAGAAATTGAAGTTAGCGCACAGAATGATTAATTTCAGGTTTAAGATAAAACATAGCAAAAGAATAAAATCTCATCAACAAATCACAGTAACCTCCCACGACCGAAAAAGAATACTTTATTGAAGTGTTAGCTCAAAGATTTCCTCTACACTATGTTGAGTGATTCTCTTCAGTGTAGCTTTTACTGCTGTTATTTTTATTTTACAGAAACCTTAGATAATTTTTTGCAAACACATGCACACACACGCACGAGCTCAGTGTCTACTCTCACTATTAGATGAAATCTCTCAGGACCTTTCCTTCCCTGCACTTCTTACTATTATTTTTATTGCTATTATTTTTAATTATTATAGTACGGGTGTAATGTTTGAATAATGCCAATCAGCCATAGATGTGGCTTCTAGGAAGACAGTCTGAAAAGAAAGCAAGGTTCGAAAGAGCTACACTGATCATTTTAAAAATGAGAAGGGTGTTTGAAGCGACCGGCAAGTAAGGATGGGAGAAATATCCTATAACTTAGACTGAGTCCCTAGTCCCTGAGCCCTGAACATTTTCTCCAGCCTGTGTAAAGCTGGTACTTTGCACTGTCAGGGTATATTTTCATTCGCGTTTCCTGAGAGTGGAAGCAAGGAAGGGAGTGAGTGGGAAGGGGGAAGAGATGCCTGCTGAACATGCCGTTAAGTTCAAGATTTACAACTCGCCAAGGCATCTGGAAAGCTGGGAAGCCAGTAATGCCATTACTGGTGGCTGTCACTGCCAGGAGTCTGCCAAGCTGGACTAGACACGGGTACTGAAGCTGTCCTGTAAAAGATACAACTTCCACTCTCCCTGTGGCCCCGTGCAAAACGCTTTCTCCTCCTGCACTAAATCTGGAGTCACACCCCAATCACTTCTGACCCGGTCTTTTTCTTTTCCCTTTTCTTTAACAAAAAAAAAAATATATATAAACACACATACACATGCACACAGAATCTGAGTTAATAAGGTGGCTTATATCACTTCTGCCTTTCTCCTATTTCTAAGAGGGACTGCCATGCAAATTACCTTCAACTTCCTCCCTGCGAGTCCTACTTTCCTACCCGAGGATCTGAGCATCTCTCCCCCACTACACACACCCTCCCCCACCCCCAAAACGGAGCACCATCTAATCTGATAGGCACCTCCGGAGAGCCTAAGCTGAGCAGGGAAATGAGCGGGCAGAGATGGAGCAAGTGAGGCATTGTGTGAGGAGTACATCTCCACTACCTTTAGAGAAAACCTAAAAAGTTCCCGGCATGGACTTCGGGCACATTAAAGTAGTGCTTGGAATATGCCTGGTCAGAGACTTCTTCCCTCTGGAACTAAGCTGCCACCTGTCCTTTCTGTCTTGCCTTCTCCCACACAAGCACACATACCGTGATTTTGTGCACACACCCCTGCCCCGCTTGAGATGGGCTTCTTTATTGTTGTTTATATCTCTGTTCCCGTGTTGAATAGAACCAAAATTAAACAGTCCCCCCCGGAGCAACTCACTCTCCTCCACTTCTTGCTTTGTAGAGGACTACAAATAATAAATGTGACAGCAGTAAAAATAAAAAAACTACGAAAAAATTGAGGAAAAAAAAGAAAAAAAAAAGAAAAAAAAAAAAAAAGAAGAAAGAAAGAAAAGAAAAAGCTGCCGGTGTCAGATACGGAACAGTTGTAAAATCGGGGGTTGCCAGCAAACCCAGGGACAGACAGACGGACACACACACCCCTGGGCTGACGAAGAGCGGCTCCCGAAGGTAAATACAGAGCACCCGCTCCGGCTTCAGCACCGCGGACAGCTGCCGCCGGCCCCGCGCCCGCGCCGCCGCTCGCCCGGCGCTCCCCGGGAGCTGCCTCTCACCCCCCAAAAAAGCGGGGAAAGAAATAAAAAATACTAACATATAAGCCAAACGGAGCTGACTCCCTGCCCTGACTCTCGCTCTTCTCTTCCCAGGATGGGTCTATTATTTCTTTCCCTGCCCCCCCAGCCTGCCGCCTCCGCCCCCGGGCCAACCAAAAATGAAATAAAATGAAATGAAATCGAAAGGAAAGAGAGAGAGAGAAAGAGAGAGACAGGGAGAAAGAGGGAGCCTGCCTTTCTCTCCCGATCTCTCCCGGGAAAGTTCAGGAGGTAACTCACCTTTGTGCATGCCAGTGAACCTGTCCTTCAGCACCGTCAGTTCATAGATCTTCCCGAACTCCTCGAAGAGCGGTTTGAGGTCTTTCTCGTCCAGGTTACGGGGGATCTGCCCAATAAAGAGCTTAATGGCATCGTGGTCCTTCATTGGGATGGTGGATGGGTTTCCGGGACTATGGTTTAATCCGTTCATATGCCCGTTGGTGCTGGGGTTGCTGTGATTGCTACTCAGGCTGGTATTGTCTGGTTGTCCGTTTGCTAACGTGGCCATCTTTATATACATAGAGAAAATCTTCTTTCCTTTTTTTCCCCCTCTTCTTTTCTCTCTCCCTCCCTCTCTCTCCCTCTCTCTCTCCCTCTCTCTCGCTCTCTCGCTCCCTCTCCCTCTTTCACACACACACACACACACACTCACACACACACACACTCCTCCCTCTCTGTCTCTCTCTCTCTCTCTCTCTCTCTCTCTCTCTCTCTCTGGGTCTGATCTGATTTTTTTTTTACATTGAAGATCTGTGTCCTTTCCGTTTAAACAGGCTGGATCAGTTCAAATTCCCAGCCAGACTAGGGGGTGGGGTGTGAGTGTGTGGATGTGTGTGTGTACGGGGAAGGGAGGCTAGGGGTGGGGGATTGCTTTTGCCTCTACTCTGGCTAAACCCCCTCCTCCCATCCAACCACCCCCCTGTCTGTCTGCCCGGCAGAGGCTTAATGGTATCTTCCAACACAGCCCCTGGCTATAAATAGCACTAGGCGCATGGCTCTTTGAGAGACAGTCAATTTCTATTGTGCCAAGTGAGCAAAGGGGAACGGTTGCGTTTTTAGGACCAATGATGATGATTTTTTTTTTTCCTTTTCGTTTGCAAGCCCTCCGATCAATCGCTGTCGTTATAATTTCAGTGATCATCGGGAAATCTGCCTTTTTATTTGAGAGGGGAAAAAAACCCCAAACCCAAGGTGTTCTGACTTCTTTCTGTTATGATGATGCCTCTTACTTATTATTTACTCTTATTCTAATTTCGCAAATGATAATAAAAAGCAGTTCAGATACGGATGAACCCCCCGGCTCAGAGGTTGCTTTTGCTGTTGTTGTTGTGATTGTGATGTTACAAGCTCTCTTTACTATATCTGTTCATGTTGCATCTAAAAAAATGCATGCTCTTTAAGCTCTCTCTTTTTTTAAAATATAAATTATGTTACTTATGATGACATCAAACTAGGAAAGCACAAACTATATTATTGTAGAGCTTTGAAGAGAGTAAAAAAATATCGAAATGACTGTTGTTAATTTTCGTGCTGCCGGTATTTATGTTATGTACAGTCAGTGCGGGCGTTATCTCCTATACGGGCTCTGTGTGTGTGTATGTGCGTGTGTATATTGGAAAGGGATTGATTAAGCAAGGTTTTCTTGCCCGACTTTCAAGCCATCAGGATATTTTGTCTGTCTCTGATGGAAACATAAATCGTATTTTGTAGTCATCAGTGATCGGGAGTTGCTTGTCCGAACAATGCTCTCTAGACAAAGTGCACTGTATGGTGGAGACGAAATCAGCCCTGCTTTCACAGCATCTGGGGGTGGGGAGGGCACGGAGCCTCGGATTAAGGACACAACTCCCCCTTGTCCCCCAAATAATAACAACAGTAATCCGGACAGTAACGAAACACGGCTCTGCGTGCGCTCAGAGCAATTTCCCCTTGTTCTTTTTTTCCTCCCGCTTTCCCTTTTCTCCGGTTCTCCCGCTTGCCCGTGCGAGCCGTGCGGGGATGGAGGAGCACCAGCGGGCGAGCTCGGAGCAGCCTGCGAGTTACCTGGCCTGAACCCCCTCTCCCGTGCCGGGCGGGCTCCGGCCGCTCGCCCCGGGGGTGTCCGCAGCCCCCGCCGCCCCAGCCCCGTTCCCGGCCATTGTTCGCGGCGCCGCCGGCAGCGGAGCCCCGCGGCGGGGGCGGCGAGGCCCCGGGGAGTTGGGGAAGGGGGAGCGGGCTGGGAGCGGGACCCCCCCCCGGCCGCCCGTCCCCCGGGAGCGCAGGTAACACGTGTGGCTGCCGACGGAAGGGGCAGCCGCGGAGGAAGGAGGTTGTTAGTTTAAAATTTCAGCCCTTCTTGGCTGCTTTACTGAGCGGGGTTTATGTATTTTATTTATTTATTTATTTTTAATTTCGGTTTTAAAAACAAACAAACAAGCAAACAAACAAAAGAAAGGAGCAGGCTTTGCCGCCTTTCCACTTTATTTGGCTTTTGTTTTAATGACAGAGAAGGAAGGCAGTGTCCTGCCAACCATCCCCCCCCCCCCCCCGCCCCCTCACCGTCCTCCGTCCCCTCCGCCTCCCGCTAAAAACAAAACCAAAAACCTTTAAAAAAATAAAATCACCCCATTGCAGGTGGCTCGGCTATTCCAGCTACTCCTGCGTCTGAGAGTGCTCCCGTGCCCTGCCAGCAGAGGAGCGGGGGTGGATCGGGGGGCGGCAGGACTGCGCCCCTCTCCGGGGCCACCGCCGGTCCCTGCGAGGGGAGCGCTGCGGGCGGGGGGCGGGACGGGACCGGCCCCGAGGAGCCTCCCCATCCCACCCTCGGGGGCCCGCACCTGGGGGCACAGCCGTGCGGAGCCCCCGGCAGCCTGCGCTGCCTTTTACGGCTCTTTCAACATCTTGGGGCGCTGATGGGCAGCAGCGGCTGTCAGCCGCCTGGTGCCGGGCTGGTGGCAGGCACCGCGCATTGTCTGCCGTCTGACCAGCCGTGCTGTGTGCCGGGGTCCAAGCCGGGGGGGTGAGGGGGCTGGTCTGCCCATCTTCCCTTCCTGGGCACACTCCTGCAACCTTTAAAGGCTACAAACACGGAGATGTGACAGCCCGGGAGCCGCGGGGAGGGTAAAACCCTCAGACAGCCCGGCTCCCAAATCCCCAGCCCCGTGACTCACCTGTTTTCAAATCCTGCCTTGTGCCTTAGACTGTGATAAAAGAATGACAACAACAACAAAACCCACATGAAACAAAATCTTTCAGCCTTCCTTCCCACCCCCCCACGCCCCCCCCCCGCCCCTTAAAAATCCTAATAGCCTCTCTTTCTGATCCTGAAACCACACCCGTGATAGAACTAGGAGGACTAAACCTTCTTCTTTTTTTTTTTTTTTTTTAAAGAAGAAATATCCACTACAGTGAAAAGTGAAACAACATCCGGCACTGATCCATCCCAGGGATAGCTCTGTTAACACCTTGTCCACGAGCAGGCCACTCTGCCTGCAATCACAGCTTATCTCAAATGAAAACCAATTAAAAAGACCAGGGCAGTAAAAAGAGTAATTTTGCTGCTCAGTGCGGGTGTCCCTTTTATAACAATCTCTATTTTTTAAAACTTTGAGCTGGTCCACGCCCCGTTTTCACAGAGCCGTAAGTACAGTCATTTAGAAATGGATGCTGTTCAAGTACAGCCCCCTGGTGCACAGGCACAGCTGTGAGGGGTGGCAGGATGAAATAATACGGACACAAATATTGCTACAAGGGCTCCAAGATGAACACAGCTGCTGCTGTGGGTGGAAATAAGCTATACCCCATAAGCACCTTTACACATGTACAAGGGGCTGTGGCAGATTTTAAACAGATACAGGCAAAGGAGGAGTGAAATTGTTATCTATAAACCAGCTTCTGCTGAACAGTTCCCCAGTGAGAAATGTTCCCAGTGTAATCACAGTGGGTCCAGTTCAGCAATCCAGAAGCAGAGAAGTCCACAGGAATTTTGTAAGGATAAGGTCTTTTGTAACAGGCTTCAGTTTCTCCCGAGAGTAAATATTATTTATCTGCTTGGGACCAAAATAAACAAAATAAAGCACTTCACTTTTTTTTTTTTCTTCCCTACTTGCAGGGAAAAAGCAGCCCCTTCCCACAGCCATTTGCAGCCCCATTTTCTCCTGCTTCTCACTCCGATTAGGGTGTCTTTCTTTTTTTTTTTTTTTTTCTCTTTTTCTTTTTTTTTTTTTTTTTCTTTTTTCTTTTTAAGAACACAAGCACCATTTATTTTGGGGGTAGATGGGCAGATGGCCATCAATTTTTACGTCCTCAGAAGAAATGCTACCCCGAATTCACACGGCTGGAAAAAGGCACGGGCATGGCCCGGCCGGGATCAGAAGGATGCAGCAGGACCAGCCACAGGTATATACACACCTCCTGTGAGAAAGGGCTTGCAGACCAGGCTTTGGCTTTTAATGTGCCTTTCAAAGGGCTTGATTGATTGCTGTTAATCCTGTGAACAACTTCGGTGTTGTTAACAGGACTGGCCGCATTAGTAAAGGTACTTGCATGCATTAGTATGCTCCTCGTCCCCATGACGTCAATAGACAGCTTTCCAATGACTTCCAGGAGGGCTGGATCAGGCCCTTGCTAGCAGCAAGTTTTTAATGAACACCGTGTGGTGCAGGCAAGGGGGACACAGCGATACATCAGTCCTGACTGTCTCCGTTCTCCAGGAAACGAGCAAGTAGAGAAGAAAGGCAGGAATAGGCCAAAAGGTTGCTGGAGGGGAATTCTTCTGCTGAACTTCAAACCCCTGGACCCATAGCACACAAAACCATCAGTCGTTGTGTGATGTAAAAAGAATTGTAGGCAGGTTTTATTCCAAATAGGTAAGCAATAAATGTGAATTTTATTTTTTAACAGGCAAGCTAAGTAGCAGGCAAGTTTTGCTCCAAAGAAATAAAAATTCGTGTGACTTCTGTTTTTAAATAGCAATCTCTCTTTCTTTAGATTTAGTTAGCTTTACCAGCTCATATACTCACAGATTTTCTACTAGGCTTTTTTTTTTTTTTTAATTAAGATTATTTCTAAACGAAACATGAGACTGTTAATATCAAAAACATTCTGATATTAATCAGATACAGCTCACAACTGCTATTAAAGGGCCCAATCCTGCCAAGCCTTCTAACTCAGCTGGAACTGTTTACTTCAGCTTGTTAGGCTTTGCAGGGAGTGCTGACAGGATCAGGGCATATTAGCTATGTAATCAAATGAAATAATTGAGAGCTGCATGTGGGCCTCTAATAACATCTAACAAAAGAAGAGGGACCATCATCCACTAAACTTTTGGTGAGAACCCAAGCATCAGGGCATGGGCCCGATCCTGAAGACCTTAATCTGCATTGTTGTTAATCACTCTGCTGTGGTCAGAGGGATTATTCATCTGAGGAAGGATTACCCATGCGAACATTTGCAAGATTGGTCCCTGAATTAATGCATAAGTCAGTGTGGGTTGGTGGCTTTTTTTGGTTTTGTTGTTTTTAACTCTTAGTTAGAATCAAGAAGGTTGATTGAGGAGAGAAATGAAAAATTATTTGTATCCAAAGGAGCTTAGCAGAGGATTGTAGTCAATGTAGGAAACAAAAGGTATCACTGTTATTAAAAGAAAAAGAAAGAGTTTGTTTATGGAGGCATTTTGTTATTAAAGTAGCACTGGTGAGTTTGAGGTGGCAAAGGGAGGGCTGAAAAGAAATGTATGGTT